ATTCAACAGATATGAAATGGGAATTTGGTGGATAGGCAAATGCATAAGGATCTAGGATGGATGATTCATGGATGAGGTTTAAAGGGATTGTTTGTTCGTTTCGTTTTTGTATTTGGAAGGGAGAAATACTTGCTGGCTAGGTAGCTATGTAGCTTGTAGTGACGAATATCAAAATTTCAAGGACTGACTTGGGTGATGTAGATTGATTTTGTTTGTAGTGACTGTGGTTGTGGTTGTGAATGTGGTTGTGGATATGCAATGCTCGAGTTTCTCATAGGGTTGCCTTTGGCTGGAAGATGATAATGATGGGAATGATGGGAATGATGGAAATCTAGACCAATCTGAAAACAAACCCCGATGTTCCGAGGACCCTAGGTACTTGATAATGAGTCTTATATAGATGGTTCGGACTACTGTAGGTTGGTATGGATAAATGCAACATGATGTGTGTATTTAAGAAGAGGGGGGGTGGATAGGAGTGGGGGTGGAGGATGGGTTGGGATGGGTTGGGGTGGGATGGGATGAGGTTGGAGATTAGATTGAAGTTGGGGTAGGATGAAAAGGGGGTGGGGTAACATTAGAGGCTGGGATGGAAGTTGGGGATATGATCAATGGAATGAGGTGAGATGGAATGAGGTGAGGTAGAGTGGAATGAGAAGAATAGACTGAGGGGATGTGATTGTGAGTGAGCTGGCTAGGGATGAGAGAGTACATAGGAAAGAATGTGATATTTGGAATGGTTGGGGATTATGGGATGAATGGATAGAGGGAGAATTTGGGGAGATGGAATGAGGAGAGGTGAATTAAGGTGGATAGAGAAGATTGGGCTGGGTGGCTGTGAGTGGTAAGTGAAATGGATTGAAAAGAATGAACTGAACTGAGGGGTAATGAGTGAGACGGTTGGAGATTAGAGGGTGGATGGGGAGGATGAGGAGTGAGAGGAGTGGGTGAAGAGATGGAGCTAGGTAGAGATTGGGAGCAGGTTTGATGTCTTTGGGAATGGGAGTGGGAGAGCAGAGAAGAGGAGATGTGGGACTATGGGAATAAGGGTTTGAGGATATGGTGGGAGTAGGAATGGGAATAGAAGGAAAAATGTATAATGTGGGAAGACATATGATGTGAGAAATGCGGATGCAGATAGGAGAGGAGAGGAGAGGAGAGGAGAGGGGCTTTATGGAAGATATGTCTATGATTGGATTTATTGCTTCCATCATTTTGAAGCTCGGGTATGAAGTCAAGAATATACAGAGATGGAAAGATGGAGACATGGGAAAGGAATTCTGTAGATCGCCTGAGAGATGTAAAGGTAGTGCTATATTCACGGAATTAGAAAATGTTTGATAGATGTCGTATAGATGAGATCGACTCTCAGCAGTGAATCTCACGGTCTTGAATTTTTTATAGTTTGGCAGGGATTTTATGTTTGAGTGTTGAGGGAGTGGAAAGTCGAGCTTATAGAGTCGAAGTTTTTGAAGAGGTTAGGGTTGGGGGTAGAGGATTTTATAATGATAGGGTGTTGAATGGAATGGGGTTGAATGGGAGAAGAGTGGATAGGATGAGGGAATTTAGAGGATGGAACGAAAGAGGACATTGATTATCTATCTAATATGCATGGAAATCCCAAGGGAAGATTGGTGGTGGTAAATTTACTTATTTAAAAAAATGGGGATGAATGAGCCTTGTGGAGGTATTGAGATACAAATGATCACCGATGTTGATGGTGATGGTACTGGTAAGTCTGAGGAGAAAAAAAGAGGTTCCTTAAATTTTCGATGGGAACTAGAATAGAGAATAGAGATGAGGATGGAGATGGATATGGGACGGACAGTTAGTTAGACTAAGGGTTTGTATGGGGAAAAGGGGAAGAGAAGATGAAATAATTGAGATGGGTTTTCGTGTAGGGGGTTATATGGTTGGTTATGGAGTGGGGGGTGGCTGACAGTGAAGGGACTTATAGAGGATAAATGAGATAATACTAAGAGGTGAAAGTCAGGGAGTAGGTACTTGTGAGTATTCTAGATTAGAGGAATAGACAGTGGGCTGTGCAAAGATTAATTGATCGTAGACAGGAGATAGGAATTAGAAGTGTACGTTCTATATCTTCTCACATTCTACGTCAATTGACTAGGTAGTTTGAATACACAGCATAGTTTAATAAGAAGAACATAGCTATTTCATAAGATCTAATGCTTATATTTTCTGCATTACTTTAAGTGAAAGCTTATTAGGGTTTAACTATTAGACTCGATTTAATGATGATATTCTAGTCATTTTGATAAAATCATTATACATATTTGTTCAGGAGATTCGATCTACAAATTCCAGGGGTAAGTCGGGTACCCTACTTTCGGGCCACCCTCCTTTTGGGCCACTTTTTACACCAAAAATGAAATTTATTGAAAATTTATATATATATAATTTAGATCATTTTTAATTTACCTTGAAAATTTCAGATTTTTTAGGAATTTTCTATATTGAGATCTAAAACTTCAAAATATCGATTTTTAAATTTGTATAAGAATTACATACAAATTTAAAGCTTTTATAAAATCTTTAATAATTTTTTAATAAAAATTAATAAAAATAAATTAAAATTTTTTATTATAAATTTTTATTATAAATTTATAATATATTTATTTTAAAGGATTCAGAAAAAAAAAGAAAATTTCCTATAAATAAATATTTAAAAGAATAACCTTAAAATTATAAAAATTATTTATACTACTCTAAACTTATTATATATTATATATCTATATTCATTAATTTTTTCAATTTTTTTTAATTTTTTTTTTAATTTCTATATAAACTTAAATTTAAAACTTTCAAAAAGATATATAGTTTTCTTTTAATAATTATTATTATTAAAAAGTTATTAAAGATCTTATAAAAGTTCTAAATTTATATATAATTTTTATACAAATTAAAAAATCAATATTTTAAAGCTCTAAATCTCAATATAGAAAATTCCTAAAAATTTCAAAATTTCAGACTAAGCTTAAAATAATTTAAATCATATATATTCAAATTTTTATTAAATTAGATTACATATTGATAGAAATATTAATAGGTTAAAAAAAGATTTTTAATATAAAAGGGTAGTTTAAAACAAAGTTGGTCTGAAAGTAGGGTGATCAATTTAGTAGATGAATTAGAAGATCAATTTGATTAGTGAGTAATTCTAAAGAAAGCTAAGTACTCGAGTAGTCACTCTTTGATCAATAGATGATCTTTAATAGGGCAGTAGAATTAGATTTCTTTCTTCTTTTATATACGACTTAGTATATAAATTAATTTCTTATAAGTAGAACAGATTACGAAGTAATTCAGACTCTTTTAATAGTAGTTTTATTTGTATTCAGTGATACTATTATTCAGGGCAGAATACCTAGTTACTGGACACGTTGTGAACCGTCATTCCAGTTGTTTTAGCCATGTCATAAGACTTCATAAATATTAGACAGGACTTCTTTTTTAGAGATATTGATGTTGAGCTTTATCCTGCTAGCATCATTATCTTCATTATCGTTAGTATATCCGTTGATGATAGTGAAGTTGCGACTAAGGACTTCGGATGGGATTTTGAGATGATATTGAGGGATGATGATAGTGAGATATGTGCTTCTCTAAACTGCGGATAGGTACTAGATGTGGAATCGAGATATAGTCTTCGGACTGTGGCCCAATGATACGTGACAGGTGAGACTTCTCCATGGTTCTATAGGGATAGGATGTTCAGTGAGGTTTTGCTGACGGGTATTAGATGGATTATGAGAGTTCCCGGAGATGGGATGGATAGATTCTTGACTGTTTAAAGGTGGTAGAGAGGACTATATGTAGATAACTCGATGGATTATGGTCATGAGTTTTCATATTGTTGTCCAGTTGTGTCAAAGTAAAGACGACAAAGCGGAGTACCGTGTCGACATTGAGAAAAGTTGTGAAATTCCTCTCAGAGACTGGATAAATAAATTACTTCGAGATTTTAATAGAGCACAATACTCTATAGAATCCTGTCTTATCTACAACGTCGTATTTTCATAGAAAACTGTATCCTTCAGATGGAATTCTCACTGTAGACTCCGGTATATATAACGAGTGTCTACACTTCTCATACTCTAGTCTTAGTGACATCTTTCGTCTCTAATCAAGGTATTAAGAGTCTCTCACATTGTCTAGAAAGCTTCCTTGGGCCTAATTTACATATCAATTGAGTGATTGTTGTTATGAGTTATGAATAAGAAAACAGATCAAGATTTTCATATACTAATCGGATCTCAATGAGATGGATCCTAGTCCCCTTTTAATCAAGTATGAATAAATAGTTAATTCTTCCTTTTAGCTTGAAGAAGTGAAATATCTAGATATTTTTACAGCTATAGTCCAACTTAGACTATACTCTAATTAATGCTCCTAAATTTTGATAGAAGTCCAAAGGAAGGTTGGAGACGAACCACTTGTCTCGACTTTTAACTCTGCAGACGAGGGTTTTGAGCTTTAAAATCAAGTGACTCTGTAGATATTCTTCTCTAGTCTACCATATCTAGCTATGATTGCTCTTGAGTTGTAGTAGAACACTGATAGGTTTTAACACATTAGTCGAACGCTCGGATGTCTATATACTTTGGTCAGCACTAGTGTAAAAGTATTCTTATCATAGCAAGGAATTTGGATATATTAAAAGTATAGGAAGACGTGATGTACCTAGAAGTATTCTCTTGTCGTAAGTGGCCTCTTTGATTCGTGTAAGCAAGTCAAGTCACATTATTAACACAGTAAATATGAAACTTTGTGCGCAGCAGATATGATGGGTTGAAATAGTATTTGATTTGATAAGAATACTATGAACAATCCGCTGTTGTCCTCCCAGTGTCATTGACGCTATTCACAAACTACCGCCGTAGTCTAGACTGCAGAAACTCTCGTCCTTAGCGGCAGTCACTTCTTAGAAGTCGAGACTTGTGGCTCGGTACATATCACAGATATGGTTTTATCCCCACAAGTTAAGATTGTTCAGGATCATCTTCGGATCCTGACTCGCTGCCAACCTCACTATCGTCTTCTATCTCAGAATCTTCTTCCAGTTCTGATTCGGTTCCATCTTGTGTTGGCAAGCCATACTCAGACAGTTCCTCCAGCTCTCGCTGGATCTCCTCTGCAGTCGTGGTGTCACGATTGCTCAATGCGTGATGCAATGCTTCGTAATCGTCTTGGTATTGGCGAAACCAAGTTTTCAATGCATACAATACATTTAGCAGTTGCTCGTAGTTACTGAAATCATCATAAATTAGCATGTTTATCATTTTAAGTTGAATGGAAAGGGTGTGACTTACTCTAAGAGCCAGATTTGGTAATCTGGTGGTGCAACTCTGTCTGCTTCGATACTGTCTGCTTTCTCATCGCAGAAGTCGATCTCTTTGTCTATCTTTTCGATCGCAAGTTCGCATTGATTGATTCTGTTTGGCAATGATCCTGTGATGAGTTCGTTCCAAGATCTACAATCTTCGCGACGTTCTCTAATGTATTGATCGAAGTCGATTTCGAACGCTTCGATGAGGTTGTTTTGAGCGTTTTGGAGAGGGGTAGTTTGTGACATGTTTAATTTCAGGGGATGTTTATGTTTCGAAAGTTTGTTTATCGAGATGTTGTTTTTTAAAGGAATAGCTTTCTAGAAGAGTTGTTTATGGAGATTGTGAGATAGTAAGGTAATCTGAGTATTTTAGATTGTTGGGTATGCTGTTATCTTAAATCATCGACTATGTAAAGAACATGGAATTGAAAAGTTTTCATGGCCGGAGGATCATACATCCTTAAGTAACTAACTATTCATTCTTACGGTCAGCATATCACGGCTGAATTGGAAGCGCGAGTTTAAGAAACATGATATAATTAGCGACCGTGATTGCTTGATTTGAATCACGGTCATCTCATGAGTATCCAGGCACATGTGCTTCTAAGAATAACTCTTTCCGGTTGATACGGTCTGGCTATGAATGGTACGTACCACAATCGGTTCTATATATAGAGATTTTGGAGTAAAGACAGCTTTACGTGATGATTCAATAGTGGTCAAGATAGTGAAGCGCATCTGGCGATAAGGTCTAGCTTCCCCCGCTAAAAACGCTGAGCTCCGTTAAAGACAATCTTAGAAAGTAACGGATAACTCCTAGTCACACTCACATATCTTATTATCGTTGATAGATTTATCATTAATGTAGGAAGAGAGGCAAAGTCGGATAATTCTGCTGCTCAGTGGCAGAAGAACCACTACACTTCTTTGCAGAGGCCATGGGCGACAAAAGTTACTTACTATTCGTGCGAATTATGTGACAGCTCCTCAGAGCTCAGTTATGCTAAAGCACCCAATTTATGATCTCTGCTACTCAAGTACAGGTAAATTGCATACAATGTTATGTATGGCTAGAAGCGGTCAATAAGCAATTGACAGGCTCATTGATTATGCTATATATTCCTCTGTAGCAGATTTCTGTGCAAAAATTTTGCGCATCTAGTGATATCTTCTGATTACTAGCCAAGATGAATACTCACTCAAGTAACAAAATATACAAATAATCAAGTCACAGCATTGGAAAGTACCCGTTGTAGGTATTAGATGATTGAGATGTTAGATTTACTCTATTAACGCCATCAAACCCTTCCGCAGTCATTCTTACTCCCAGCACTCCTGCCACGCTCTCAAACAGTGCTGATAGGAAAAGCGGTATGGTTGAGGTCCACCCAGTAGCTCGATTTGTCTGATTCCTGCCAACTCCGTCATGCTCGCCACCAGGTTATTTTGTTCTGCGACTTTACCCTCTGTCGCTCGCCAATCAAACATGTCCAGGCTCTAGATCAAGCTCTTCTTCAAGCTCTCTGGCAGTCTCCCAATCTCCATTGCGTCTAGCGGTCTGTAGAGCGCGGTAATCGTCTCGAATAACCTCGTACCACTGGCGCATCGGATACATCAAGACCAAGAGTCTTTCGTACTCCCTGTCGGAATCAAACTTCAGCAGATACCTTATGTCAATGGGTTTGGAAATCCTACCTCAAAAGCTCGGCTCGAGCATCCGCGGGCAAGCTACTCATACGTTCAATGAGGGCTTTTCTGCGCTCGATAAAAACGATCTTCAGGTGCAATCTATTGAGAGCACAAAACGTTTGGAAGACTCGATTGGCTATTGTTCCATCAATTGCATTGTCCCAAAGTTGAAGATCAGCCACCAGGTCTGTATGATATTGCTCAAAATCGATTGTGAGCTCTTGGATGTAAGCCGTTTGAGACATAGCTAGGACTAAACTCTAAAAGAATAAGAGCACGAGCTTGATTTGGAGAGATTTTAATATGAGGTATCGATGGATTTTGACTGTGAGTATGTGGGCAAGTTTTGAGAGTCTCCGTCGATGAAAGTTCCTCACTATTGATTATCTAGCTACTCACGAATATAGCCAGCACAGGAAATTCCTCTAAGATTTAGCGCAAAGTACAGAACTACCTGTGCCTTCAAAAATTGGCTTACATCACCAATGTGAATCAGAGATGCCTGATCTCCAGTGTAAACAAAGATGGCTGATGGGGAAATAGTGAATTGATGAGTGCTTAGTATGATTGCGCAAGTTTAGGGACCAGAATTACAGTAGAACCTTGATAGTTACAACTAATTTCATTCAGAGATGCCTAAATTGTACTATACCGCACAGCAGGCAATGATGAAAGAGTGAATGAATGTCTATTGTTGTAGCAATAGATCTAGGGATAATCTATTACGGGACTAAGTGTCTTGAGAACTGATTGAAAATAATGTAAGCTACAATGGGCGTAGTTGAAGATGAATCATACACATGAAATTGAGACAGAAATCTGAAACCTGTATATAGGAGTAGCAATGTCTTGCAGCTAACAATTGTATCGAAAGGATGGCCAATATTCAGCCTTGCATATATTTAATATTTTGTGATGTTATTGTTTAATCCTCCTATACATGGTGGTGTGCATAACAAGTCTTCTAAACTGACACAACCTTCAAACTTCCCATCAAGTTATCACATCACAACTTATGTACTGTTCATATTCAAACAATCATTTACATTCAGAGAGAGCCTGGTTAATGGAAATTTGAGCTTCAGTCTTACTCATTGATTGTTCAACCTTGTTGGCCACACATTTTTGAATAACCAATGATAAAAAAAGAAAATATCCTTTACTAGTGCATCAAAGCTTTTCAAATCGCAAGCATTTCATTGGCGTTTGGATATCTTTATAAAAGAGGCGCAGCAGAGATTGATAATATGTGAATCTTTGAGTGATCTCTTCTTTAAAAATTCTTACTCAAAGCTGAGTGATTACCTTCTGAAATAGTTCTTTGTAAGAGCATTTCCTAGTCTTTTGATTGGATATTCATGGTAAAAGTCAGTTATTACAAATCAAGCAGAACTGCAAAATTATATTGTTTAAATTTATGTTCTAGACAACAACAATATGTAAAAGATGACTGAAAAGTTTCAAGAGAAAAGAGTCAATAATTCAAGTAACATAATGAAGGAGAAGGGGGTTTCTTTAACGAGAATAAACGAGAATGAGTAATCTTGGTGGAGCAGCGTCGAAGCGAGAACTCCTAAAAAATCATCAAACAGCTTCGAAACACAAGACAAAAGGAACAATACTCAAGCAATTCGAATTCAACAGTTGAAAAGTTAGATTAAAATCTGGAAAAAAATATGAAGTTTGGTTTCTCGCGAGAATGAGTGGATTACTGCATGAACTTACATTTGAACTTTGAAACTTTGCACCACATGACCTGAGTTTCAAATTATTTGATGCCTGAACCTCTACTACAATCTCCCATCTCACAAAGATAAGAGTTATTCAAAGCTAAGGAAAGGCTCAAACAGGTATAGGAATTGATTTTGGCTGTGTCATAGATACAAAGAAACCAGAGAAGACCATAACCGTGTTACCGCAGAGAGAACAAAATACATGAAGCCGTCCATCTACCAATCTTTGTGCCTTTAAAATCCATATCAAGGAACAAGGGCCAATCACACAAGCAGTGTTCAGTATGCTCAATCTTTGCCTTGAACCAAATCATTCTTTACAGCCTTCGTCTCCTTCCTTGTGAACTGGTACGCTAGGCTCTGGAAATTTCTCTCGAGGTTGACGAAGCATGCTTTTTTTGACAGGTCCCTTCGGATTTGTTTCAAATTCGAGGCCTTCCATCTTTGGCAGCAAAGAGGGTGGCTCGCCGAGCTTGAGACTTGTTGAGAATGGGTTGCGGGTATCAAGCTCTTCGGAGTTGATGGTTGGAGATGGTATCGTAGGGATTTGCTTAGTGGTAGGTTGCTCGCGGAACTTTAAGAGAACCCTCTGTTGGTCGTACTCGTCGAGTAATTTCTGGACAAAAAGAATCGTGCGCAGCAAATCCTGTTGGACGACGCGCATGGCTCTAGAAGCAGTATTAGTATTCATAATATGGATTGAATCAAGAGGGAAATTGTTGAGGACTACGTACGCAAGTTCGTCAGCTCGATCCGGCGCACTGAGTTTCTCGATATAAGAGTCAACCTCTTTGATCCGTGAATGCAAGGCTGGTAAAAGTACTGAGAGGTACTTCTTTCTACGGGGGTACGACAATGTAAAAAGTTTCTCATTGACCATGGTGATGCCACCGAGGATTTGTTTTTGAAACGTCTCAACGAGGCTTGCGGTGGGTGTCTTGGTATCCATGAAGATTGACGAAAAAGATGAGATACTAAAGCCTATTTGCGGAAGAAAATATGAGCTTGAGACTCTTAAGAAGTAGGTCAGGTCGGTGTTGGGAGGGAGGAGCTGAGTGGGCAGACGAGAGATGTATTTATTCAGTGATTTGGCAAAAATTTTCCGTTCTGAATGCTTCTCGGTTGGTTGAGTGAATGATTTGATGAGGAAAAATAAAGTGGGGGTACGTGTGGTATACTCTTAATGGAGGCTGTTTCCGTGAAAAGGCGAACAAAGAGGAAGTTTGACCTTTGAGAGTAACTCTGATATACGAAAAGAAAAGACTGTATTATATGACTTTACAAAAGAGCTCTGGTGGTATCGTGTGCGCCGCTCATTCCGTACGGCAACTATCTAAGTGAGAGTGGTAGCGGTTACAGAAGGAAAGAGAGAGGTCTCATTCTCTGGGAAGCTTTCAACGGGGGCGCAATTAGAAATGTATCAGATGGTAGCCGATGTCAAAAATATGGAACTGACAATTCTAAATGCCTGAAATGAAACGCAGAGGCAGAGTCTATAGGTACAAATTATTGCAGCTCTTCAATGTGGCCTAGTATTTTGACAAATGAAGTCAATTCATTTGTTATTATTGAGATAATAATTCTACTTCCTAAATATTGATTATGAATGATCGAGATAGTTCCAAAGATGTTGAATCTCTCATCCCGCCGCAAATAATCGGGGCTTGGAAATGCAAAGTTCCAAAGATAAAAGGGCAAAATGCTACGATGAAGCCAGAGTCTAGTGGTAGGCTGCCTCTCGGGCTCCTAAGATTTCCTGATATTGATATTCCTGGAGGTTATACGTCACTTCTGCATGGGAATTCGACGTTTGAAAAATATTTGGATGATGATGTTGATGTATATTTATACGTGATGAGCTTGGGATAGAATTTGAAGAGTACAAAGTGTACTCCGTATGACAAATGAAAAATCTTTTACAATTATCTAACCTTTATTCAATAGATATGTATGAAACCAAATCCGCCTTACCATTATGGTGCAATAAATACCATGACATACTATTCAGAAAAGACTGTGTTTTGACATATCAAAGCCTTGAGATGAGGTAAAAAATCTCGTTAACATGGAGAGCAAGTGATTATAATTTTTTCATGACAACAAGGCCCCCAAGTATGTATCTGCCACGCAGTATTTGATGGAAAGGCTTTCAACTTTATACTTTACTACAATCCCAACTTCCTGGCATTCGCCGTAGCCCCGCGAACTTTCTTCTCTAATGATTTAACGTCAATAAGTTTGGTGTATTTATTCTGGGGAAATTTATCATGGTCGCGGAGACTCTATAGGTAAAGAAATTGTGAGTAGAGGTCTCGCGAACCTATCTATACCACACAAACTAAGGGCACAGGACTCAATGACTTACAAGTGTGCTCCCGTAACTTCCATGGCGTATCCCGAGATCTAGCATCATTTCTCTTCTGCTCTCTAAGCTTAATTCCTCACTTGTCGCTTCGGATAGGAAATTCTCTACCTCTTGGATGCGAGCCTCAATATTGCTGCGCATGACAGTAGATTCAGCCATTAACTCCGAAGCAATGCTAGATGATGAAAAGTGAGCATTCGATTCTACTGATGACGCAGACTTGTGAACGGGCTACTTTTAGACATACCTACTCTTTCGTCCCCAATTTTTGTCGTTCGCTGGCTGCAGTTTTCTCATGAGAAATAAGTATTCCTCAACAGTTTTGATATCCACCTGAAACTCTTGACGATGTTCGTTTAGAATCTTTAATCTCGCATCTAGACTATAACGAAAGAGATTATTCAAATCTCTATTGACCACAGCAATGATTTGACGATGCTTCAGGACTACCAATTCCAGCTCGAGTGGAGCCTCTCCCGATTTTGGACGATTTTTAGAGTGGGATTTGACATTCTGAGGTTCACCATTCTCATCTTCAATACCATTTCTTCGGCTTTCTACCGGGGAAACGGGGGTTCTTGTGTATCATCAGACGCTCGAGGGACTTTGTTCGTGTTCTGATGGCATTGATGGCTTCACTTTGGGTCATTGCATCATAGTCCTGCGAAGTTATTAGTATTTATATGCGAATGGAAGTCTTCTTGATATGTTGATGCGTACCTTTGTTGGACACGATTCCCGATCGTTATGAACATTGGAAGGCATGTCGCAAGTGATTTTGCGTGAGATGATAGCTTTCGTTTACTAGGGTGTTGTAGACAATAATTCTGAGAAATTATTGAAACTAATGAACGAGAGTATTTTGAGGAACGTTTTGATAAAACCAACAACAGTTTAAGAGGGTGGACCAGCTTAGACGACACCAAAATTTATTCACATGAAAGAAAACACCCATATATAGATAAGCACATCAAGATCCAATCAGTGTATTAACCCGCGCTTAGCCGTAATCGATTTGATTATTGCTATTATTGCCGTATCACATCTGCTGTATTGAAACATAGGAGCAGCTAGGAGCGAATGGGCTATGTATTTGAGTTTTTAGGGGCTCATCCGCACGGACCATGTTTTAGAAGCTGTCGTATATGGATCGGCTAGCTGTAGGGCACCAAATAGCAACTACAAATACAACATAAGAAAGATATGGAAAAGCTACGCACAATAAATCCTCGAAATTCCCTTTATTATGTCATAATAAATGGCGGGCTTTAAATTCAGAAAAGAAAAGCCAGCATTTGACAGAAAAAGTGATTCTGGAAAAAAGGAGCGCACCTGCTTTTACACACCAGATATTAAAGCCATACATCGAAAAGACAATGAGATACATTTCCTCAGAGTTTTATCTTTCACCGCAATTCTCACAGCAATCATTCTACTTGCATATTTTAGATGGAAAATTGCTCGACTCGAGAAGATAATGAAGATCAAAGATGAACACTACATCGGGAAAATGACTAGTGGAGTGGTGTTGACGGGGGAAGATGGTTCCTTGTATGTCCAAATCATGGAACAGTTTAGGTCTCTGATCTATATTATCGCGATCTTAGTCTTAGCGATTACCTGGTGGTGAGTACATATATTTGAGTCCGCAGTCTACTCAAGGTGTATTGACTAATATAATATTGAAGTATCAAAATTAGTGAATATTAGTTGCTAGTTATGACCCAATTTTGGAAACTTGATCTCACCCCTTATCTGTATGCTAGAAGGCGACAAGGGCCATTTTAGATCGATCTATGAGCTAGTATGCTGGACCAGATATTCAAAGAAACTCGTAGTTTCAAGAAGTCAGTACCTGAGTCTATTCCTTTGTATTAGCGATGCCAGAGCTTCTTTCAAACGAAGAACTCAACACGGTGAAATGCCAAAGAACCTCGAGCTTGATCAAGAGCCATCACCTACTGAGGTATTAATATATTTCTAAATGAATTTTTGAGTTTATATATGGTAGGTAGGCAGATACTTTGGAGATAATCTATTCATCATCACAAATTCCTATATAATTCTTTTCAACGACGACTGAGTTCATAACTTCCTATGCAGTGCTATTCAAAACCTGTCTCGCCCTGTCTACAGTATCTTCAGTGAAAAAACAGAATTTATTCAAAATCTAGTATTGATAAATGGGAATTGATAGTGGATAATCTAAAATCTGATGAAACAAAAGTTCTCGGGTGAGAATAATGTCGACCATTAGTTTTCTTAAGAGATCACTTCACGTCACTATAACGAACGATAATATGAAGAAAGAATGCACTATTCTGATGATATCTCAATAAATGCATGCTCTTGATGCTATGACGATGCTATTTATTGATGCTATAGACACTAAGTATAGATAAATTGAGTAGTATTGGCAGTTTTGGCTGAATGCGACTGCTAGAATTGACATCTCTCCTGACTTTCAGTCCATCCACGTGTCCCAATGAATACTGACAATCCCACTACTCACAATTATATTTTACGATAACATAAAATGATACAAGATCGTATTGCCGGAGTAGAAAAGATGGCTTCGAAATGATAGGTACTTCAACCTGCTTCTAAGATACTATCTCAAAGGAGTTCTTCGCTTCCATCTATTGTATTTTCGGTATCTTGAGGTAATTTGGTGTTTTTATTAGGACGGCCACTATGAATCCAAGTTAAAGATTCGATAGCATCGCCTAGCGCGGCGATGAACTCGCCAAAGGTCGCTTTGCTCAGGAGGGGTGTCTCAGATAGAGATTCAGTGATTAGAGCTGTGGCAGAAGCCACAACAATTTTTGGTGTCTCAACTATTTTCGAAGTTTTGGCCTAATTTAACCACCGGTTAGAGAGATATCTTTTGCTATAGTATGAATGATGGAATACTAACCAAGTTTGGGTATCGAGTATTCTCCGAAGCGATTGCTCTTGCCGGCTCTTTATTGCCAGGATTGACTACTATTTCAGTAGGGGAAGCATGAAGTCTAAGGCCGTGCAATCTTAGTTTCTCCGGAGCTGGCTGGAATAACTGATTATGGAGTCCTACTAGCTTGACGTTGTGAACAGAGCGAGTGAAAGCGATAGGGCATTGATTGTGAGTCAGGAGGGCAGCGATAGATTCGCCAGCTCGAGCTTGGGGAACCATTCGGAACATTCTGTGAGTCTATGAAATCAGAACGAGCACTTGATTAGAAGGGTTGTTGTATTGGTGTTAGGATTCGTTGGTAAAAAATGTATTGTTAATGGTTTTACAGTTGTAAGTATGTGTTGAGAAATGATCTTGTACTATAGAAGCAGATATAATTTTGTTACAACGAAGGAGGGCACAGCTCTTTTATATTAAGACACAGGAATCTAGAGCAAAAAATTTCAGGCTTTTGATTGTGTGAATGTGGGACCTACGGTAGATCATTGTACTAAGTGACTCATCAATCAAATGCAAGGCAAACCTTATTTGCCTTGATATTTAACGATATTCAGTGCCAATCAAGCTCAAACACCACAAAATAAAGGCGTTTTACTTTCAGAAATTGGCCTGAGCATAGATACCACGTTATATCTCTTCATCTATAAATATATAAAGTCAGTTATAGATACGTCGTACCTACCATTACTAAGATTTGTAGCGAATATCGAGAATATGAACACTCCTGGGCTTAGCGCACCAGTTATAATAGGGCGAACACTAAAAATTAACATTGATTTAGTAAATTCCTAGACTCACTAGCAACCCATAGTCCATGGATCACATGATTATGAGAGTCGATCACCTTATCATTGATTTGTCAAGATCCATCTGACAGACGAGACACACAACGATGTGTGAATATGGGGAAATTTCGTTGATAATCTATGACCTCATATTAAACGAATCGATGACTCCGTGAAGGTTTCTATATAAAAGAGTAAATTTCAGATTGACGGAGATGTTTAATTTACCAAATATCTCACACAATTTACTGACTGATATTCTCATGAGCATCCTATTATTGAAGTAACGTAAGTCATGGCGTAATGCGTCTAATGGCGTAATGCGTCTAATTGTGGGGGACCACCCCATCAAAAAAGCAACAATTCAACAATGGTCCGTCGAAAAAGTTTAAAAGTGCAGGAAATGGAATCTCGACTTTCTGAAGCAATATTAGGAGTTCAAAATGGAAAGTATAAGTCTTCATATGAAGCTGCAAAAGAACTGGGGCTTTCTAAAGATACTGTGACGCGACGCGTCAAAGGGGGTTCATCGCGTTCTGAAGCACATCAATCGCAACAGAAACTTTCTGCTGTACAAGAGAATGTACTTCTTAAGTGGATAAAGCAATTGACAATTAGCGGCTATTCACCAGGCCATCAGTTGTTAAAAGAATTGGCTGAGGAGTTACGTTCAAAACGGACTTATAATTTGGATTGCCCCTCATTTGACTCCCTTGAACTCCCACCACAACACCTTCTTGGTCATGAATGGGTTCCACGATTTATCAAACGACATCCTCATCTTACAGTTGTTATTGGCCATCGAATTGAATCTGTAAGAATGGATGGTGCAATCAGGGAAACATGTAGTATTTGGTTTGACACATATCAAAAAGCGATTCAGGATTATGGAATTGAAAAGAAAGACGAATATAATATGGATAAATCTGAACATTCAATTAGGACAATAGAATCAACTCGAATTATTATCGATTCTACACTTCATACAAAACATCAAGCACATCCAGACCATCAAGAGTGGATTTTAATGATAGAGTGTATTTGTGCGGATGGATCCATTCTTCCACCACTCAGGATTTTTAAAGATAAAAATGTCCTTCAAAATTGAATTCCGAAGGAAGTTCTTAATAGCTGGTTCTTTTCAGCAAATACAAAGGGCTGGACAAGCAATCTTCATGGATTAGAATGGCTAAAACGCGTTTTCGAATCTGCAACTTGTGCAAAAGCAGGTGGCAAATATCGGCTTCTCATCTGCAATGGCTACGATTCTCATATTAGTGGAAGCTTTATAGCTCACTGCCTTCAAAATCGAATTGTACTTCTTATACTTCCTCCTCATACCTTGCATTTGCTTCAGCCACTTGATGTTGCGGTTTTCAGTCCATTGAAAAAACGGCTCATTGCAGCACTTTCTGATTTGAATCAAGCTCAACTTGTACGAATACAAAAGATTGAATAAATAGAGGCATATATTAAAGCTCGAGCCGACATATGCCATCATCAAAATATCGAATCGGTATAACGGGGAGCTGGATTACATCCATTTAATCCACAAAGAGTGTTCTGTATATTGGGTCGAGAGTTTACCCCCGAAGTCGAAATATCCAAAGAACCAACCCAATTTGATATTTTTAACCAAGTCTTCGTCAATAGCTCATCCCCAAATGTAGCAATCTTACAAACAGCAAATAACCTTTTAAATTCAACAATTGAAAATGATACGACTCTTTCAACCCCGGTTCGTCAATACATTCGAAAATTGACGATTGGGAGTGAGCAACTTCGAGCTCAAAGTATTGTTCATCAACACGATGCGAATAATTTACGAGCTATTATGAAGAAACGTACGATACATAAGAAAGGAAAGAGACTAGTTTTGAAGGGTCATTTTCATATTTCTACGCAAGAATTATGTGATGCAGTAGTGGAAGTCGAAAAAGCTACTAAGGTACAGACAATGAAAAAAGGAAAAGGGAAAGGGAAAGTAATTGAATATGAAACTGAAACTGAAGAGGATATTGGAGAAGAAGTTGAAGATGAATCTGAAAGTGATACTGGAGATTGTATTATAGTTGATTGTTGAGTAATTGAGATTTTAATAGAGTGGTTCCCCGCAATTAGACGCATTACGCCATGACTTACGTTATCAATCATAGACTAAGCGAAAACAAAACAACCCGGCTACTGTACATAAACTCGCTATTATTCCGCATATTATGGATAAGATTGCTGTCTCCAACTCCAACCACAGTATCCAAAGAAAGAATCAAACATTGAGGAGACTTCAGCAACACCTTTGCATATACTTCTACCTAATGAACTTGGTATTTCTAGACATTTTCAATCACGACTCGTGAATCATGGCGGACAACTTGACTGATAGTCTCTGAGAAAGTTTGTAAGTTGCTCATTATTGAAGATTTTGATTCGGTTGGCTGGTTACTCTCTAATGAGATAGTAGTAGTAGTAGTAAATTCATAATCGATTCGATCTATGTAGCTATGCTAAGACCATGCGATGCGCCTGTATCTGTGTCTAATTGAATGAAGTAGATAGGAAAAAGATATAAAAACCTACCCGCCCCCTCTAGTGAGATACAATAGAATCTTTAAAGTTACATTTAGCAATAGCGTTATCACAGTCATCGCTCTTGCCGAAATGCTAGCACAGTACTCGCCGTTCTTCGAAGACGCAAGCAATTTTGACAGGAAAATCAATACTCTGTCCATCAGCACATTTGTAATGAAAAACTATTGTGGCCGAGGACGAGGGTTGATGGTGGAGGCATTCTTATATACTTGGTACATCGCCCTATCAAATTTAACGGGTTTACTCCAAGACCAAAACGTGTTCTCCTATCCGGAAGATTCTTGTGGATATAATCATCAAACAGGGCATCGATCATTATCATTTCTATCAGAAACTTCGCGGTTTGCTCGAGGAGGGTAGGCCTGTAGAATTCCACCAAGATTTGGTTGATGAACTGATGCGGAGCTTAATTATAATCCATCAAATGAGCCAAGGCATTGACTAAAAGTGTCTCAGTGTAGATGATCGGGCGAGACGCAGGTTTCACTGTCACATCCATGGATCGGGGAGAGGTGCCCTGGACTTGAATACAGTGATCCAAATCCTGAATGGTAGAATTACTGGAGGCATAGGCAAGCCCTTTGACTGGAATGAATTGAGCGGGAGCACATAGAGAGTTCCGTGAGTTCACATTAAAAGACATAAGTTATTATATTGCTACACAACTTTAGTTGTCGTGGGGTTTCAGGGGGATGTCGCGCCAAATTCAAGGTTGATTTATTCAGAGCAAGGACACACACCGTGTGCACATGAGTTCGCAAAGCTGTTTGATTGGATCTGTGATTAAAGCTATGATCGGACGATTTTACAAAAATGAATAGAAAGATTTCATTCCTTAGTTTCTTTACGGTAAAATGTTGTGACCTGTAGAAGATTCGTTAACTGTAGACTACGAATGAATATAGAGGACTTTTTTTTTTTTTCGAAAAACTAGAGATGAAGACTTGATGGATCAGGCTCAAAATGAAATGGAAAGTACTTGGATCTTTACTTGTCTCCCATTATCTAATACTTTTGAGTCTTGACTATTGTGCCTTGAAGAAATTTCGCTAAGGAGAGTCAATTGCAGAAGATACCAGTTATTAAGATGGACATTTGTTGAAATATTAGAACATTGAATCAATGTAGGGAAATAGAACTAAACTTTGTAGGTTATTTCTTTTCTTAGTCAATGTGCTTTTAGAAGAGAAATTGGTTTCTTAGGGCTTTTAATCTCTCACTCCCATAATTTGAGCTGCAGTTTACGAGCCAGTCGCTTTGACTAATGATGGCAAGCTAAACAACAATTTTGATCTATAACAAGCATGAAACGAATTATTTTAGATGAGTAAAGATTAAGCTTTTGCATTCATACAATTTTCCCTTGCTGAACTGACAGCAGAAATTGATCCAATTTACGACAAAATGATGGTGATATATGTTGGTTTTAGGAGGATACGGAAGACGTAACACCCACGTTTTCGTAGCTCCTAAATGTCTATATTGTATTCTGTCTAAAGGGCTAGCTATGTATAGGAAGTTGTAGGTCTTATATAGACGCTACAGAAAGAGCTCGTCTCCTTCACTTTCGCTAAGGGCTTGAAATACAGTAGCTAATGAATTGAGGTGACTCACTAGATCCTAGTGATCAACGTTCATACATTGTAATTCGTATGAAGTTTTCTTATTAGTATGCAGACGATTGGAGTTCAAACACCCTTCGAACCTTTTCACTAGTTGGGAGTTTTCGTTTAGCTAAGTATATGGTATACATTAGGAGAGTCATCGGTTCCACCAATTTTCAAGCAAAGTAACAGAAAATCACTCAATTTCCTAGCTTGATAGAAAAAGAAAGCTCTTGGAGGTTAGCTTTAGAATAATAATAATATTATTAGTATTCTAGTATTAGTGGAACACTTAGTAATTTTAGCTTTAGGAATAAATCGAATATATAATATGAGAATTGAATTGAAATCAAATTATAAGAAAGAACTTAATTAAATTGATTTTTTTATAGATTTTCTTTGAAGAAAATTTTAGGTTTATATAGTTTATAATGAAATTCTAACAGTTTCTATACTTATTAATAAGATCGATGTAAATTGAATCCATAGAATTAATTATATAATAAAAAGAAAATGTAACCAATCAATTCAATTCGTTTTATTAACAATCTTTTAAATAATTCTATTTCATTCTATTCCATTATAAATCGATTTAATAAGAGATCTAATAATATATTAATAAAAAAATAGAATTTTATAATAGAATTTTATAATATAAAATCGTATTATATATTTATATTAGTCATTAATATTTCTCTTGATTAGTAAGATATTAATAAGTGATTTAGTGTACTTATTATAGAATCTCATAAAAGCTAACCTCAGGGTTGTCGCTGAGAAGAGGGAAGTCCAAGTTCACGAGTCACTTCTGACAATCTTTCACATGCATAGTTCCAGACTATAGTGGCATTATTAGCGTTTCACGTTAATAAAATGAAGAATTCCAAAGAATGGCACGTCTGTGATTTGAGCGACTAAACCTAAAATTTGAGAATGGGCTGTATTTACAATGTAGTCCAGACATTTTACACGTACATACGCCTAAACACCGAGTACGGCGGCTCGAACTCTAGAGTTGCACCGTACTGTGGTGGAATCCGTTGTATCTGCGACTTTCTCTTTGACCGTAGCTTTCAATAATAATTATTTAGGTCCCTCAATGATCCATTAAATTCTATTTCCTTGAAACCATATTGATTTAGAAAAAGCGCGCGATCTGAGGAATTTCTGGATCATATTTTGAACTCAAGAAAAACATTCCCAAGGAAATACTTGTACTTCCCGAACTTTTCACAAACGCATAATCTTAGTTCTCATCTATCATAAAAATGGCCGCCAATGGACCGGGGACAAATCTGGGTCCGAATCACAATCCTGTTATTATACCTTGGCCTCAACCTGCCAACGAAATGTCGCAGCTTGACGCGATAATTGCAGACACAGACGACGTAATTCTAGCTGGAATGAGCGAAAGACTGGAGGCTTATATTCGAACATCTGGACATCGTGGTCTTTCTCGTCAAAATGTACTCAGAATATCTAGGATTCTAGCTGCAACATATCAAGCACCTGATAAGCCGAAAACTACCAAGAGCGTTCTGGCACTTCTCAGCGGAAGCTATGACGTGTAAGTTCCTCAAATTAATAGAGATAGTGATAATTTGCTAATTACAGGTGTAGTGATGATCAGAAGAACTTTAACGAGATCGTCTCCATTCACGTAGGAACTGGAAGACAACGAGTCCAGTTCACAGCAATGGCTGGATTATTGGCCACGCAAGCCGAGTTCTTCAAACCTCTTTGTTCTGATCTTTGGAAATGTGGTCGTGAAAAAGCCATCTCACTTGAAGATTATCAACCTGAAAGTTTCGAAATGTTCCTCGCATGGCTCTACACAAAGGATATCAGAAATGCAAAATGTTCGGGTAAAAATATCAACCGTGGTAATACTCATTTTCAAACACAAGCCCATAAGTACAAATGGTTCCAGTTACTTCATTGCTATTTTCTCGCCGATTATATTGGAGCACCGAAGTTCGCCAATTATATGATGGATGCATTAACCTTGGCCTATAGAGAATGGGTGCGCGGTGAATTTGTCAAGTCGGCGAACGACCCACTTTTCAACAATACAGAGGAGACTCGAAAGCTGGTGGATAGCAACACAGTCGAATCATCACCACTACGAGCTTTAATCAAGGATATACTCTTCCCTTCTGTTGAAGAGAGACGAGTTCCCGTAACCATTAACCGACATCCGAGAGCACCCCCTTCTTTCCGCAGAGCCAGACGCGGACTTCATAATCTCTTAGTACCGAATCCTTTTCTTCAGCCTCAGGGCCAGAATATTGAATTTCCAAATAATGGAACGGCTCCAAATCCTTATTTCCATCCTGGCCATCCACTGTATCCTTCTGATTTTCCGCCAACTACACCGAATGCACATCCCCCACCCCCAACCAACCACCATATGTATAACGCTGCGCCTTCACTCTCCACTGGAATTGGACCTGCCCCACATTTTAACCCCCAACCGCCGCTAACCCATCCTCACAACAATCTAACATACTATCCGATTCCTCAAGGAGGTCCATTTCACGCAACCATTCACCAACCTCCTATCTCTTACCACGCCCATTTTCCACTTCCTATCGCCCATAATCCCTTCGCCAATCACTACAATATCCGCAATCAACATCCCTTTTTCTCGCCAATGCCCCTCCTATCTCGACCTAATCTACGCTCTAGGTTTCTCAAAGCCATGAAGTTTGGGAGGTATGAAGAGAAAGTCGATCCGGAAAGCGCTGCTATTGAATTTAAGAAATGGGAAAAGGCATCGATGGTTTGGGAACATGAAAGATGTAGATATCATATTCATGCTAAGGGGGAAGATTGTCGAGATGAGGAGTAAAGATCTAGTTTTCTTGAGAGAAGGGGTATTTTGGCTGGGTTGAAAATTTTGAGTAGGTTTGGCGAGCCTCATCCGTCATTGCTAGGGATGTGGGTCGCAGACATAGATGCGATCGGGAGCATTAGGAGTAGCATAATAATCATACAACTATCACATTATTTATCCTAGATGACACCAGAATATACACATTCCATTGATATATACTATAAAGCAAGTGAAAACAATCGAGAGTGAATAGAGTTCTAAGAGTAGACAACACTGACCGCGGGAGAGAGAGATTTCTATCATGAGTCATGTACAGATGAATACTATAATTTGTCCCAAAGATAACGAATAAGCGTTTTGAATATCTATGGTAGAATTAATCTTAAACTTCTCCTTCAAAATGTTCTGTTCACTACCTTCAATTATTCTTTCTAGCGTGTTCCTAGGCCATTTGGATTAATTCCATCCCCTCTACAATCTTTCGATGAACGACAATTCATATCGACAATCCAGAGTGAAAAAATGCATCAAGAAACTCATAGCCTTAGATTTCTTCTATGATCCAAATAAGCCCTTTCATGTAATCAAGAGATGATGGAACATGGTCTCATCCGAAAGAGAAGTAGTAGAACTTTCTGGTACAAAAACTCGCCCTTTAAGTTTAAGTCCGCCGACGCAGTTCACGCTTGAAAATGTGTCTGATCAATACACTCTGGTCATTTCTACCACAGAAAATTAGAGTTCTTTGCTTAGCACCTTCCAGCAGCCGCATACGATGAAGTCATTGTAATGGAACATTCTCGACTGATATGTAGGTTCTTTGTTTTGACCAATGAGTAAGAAGTTTTCACGATCACTATGAATCGTTTCGTGGTCTTCGTAGTGAAGAGGATCTGTTATCTGTGTGGTAAAGTCTGCGAGATAAAACCATTCTTTACATATTTCTGTTCATTGGCTAAAAGTCTTCTAGGGGATTTGTTTGAGTAAATAAAACTCTTTCAACTGCAAGTATGATAAGGAGAAAAATAAGGCTTTGGTTCCTTCTAATGGATCAATAATTTCAGGGCAACAAGGAGATAAAATGTGATGCTTCTATGGACTTCCGAAATTTTTATGAAAAAGTTCGGGTGGCAAGCACTAGTGACAATTATTGGGTTCAAATGAAATACCACACCCAGAACTTCCGATCAAGTGTTTTGGAATATCAATGGGATTGAAAATATCTAGTGAGATTTCATTAAGTCATGAAAACCATACAGATTATATCTATCCCCCAATCCTCGAGGATTATTCATCCCAACAACCTCACCCGCTCTCCCCAGCAATACCAAATTTCAGATCACTCTCCCCCCCCCCCCTCACCTCAAATCAACCCCAAACCCGTCAATCCATCGAATATCCCACCGCCGACGAAATCGTCACATCCTCACCTCCCTCCGCATTATTCCTCTCCCTCGCACTCTGTACCTGACACTTCATCTCCTCAACATGATCCTTATGCTCATGATACACACATCCCATATCCCTCTCTCTCCATCCTCGATCCCTCGCCTGTTTTCCCAGCTTCGCATACGCACCCAATAAATCAATCATAAATTCAATCGGGACTGAGAGATTCTCCTGCATAGCGGACCCCGCGCCTGTAATCAGAGTACTGAAGCTAGAAGGTTGAGCATAGTACTTAGGATAGCGAACTGAATAGTTGATGATCATCTGAACGAGCATTTGACGCAGTTGGGAACCAGGATTTGTAGACGCATACAAATGTGAGATTTGCGCAGGTGATCCACCGAGAATGTTTCTTGCATCTGGAGGAAGAAGTTTGGTTTTTCGATTCGGAGTGTTGTTTTGCTCTACTATTGGCGGGATGCTTGAAGATTGTGTTTGATTAAATAAATCATCGTTTCCTTCGGTTGTGAGTTGGGATATGTGATCAATTAATGCGTCATACTCTGCAGTTCCGGGAGCCGCGAGAACATTCTCATCTTCTTCGTCTTCTAGTTGTCTTCGATGTGTTTGCCATCCGCATTCTTCTCTCAAAGCACAGATCATCGTATCGATGATCTTGTTGGCGAATTTAGGCGCGATTAGGAATTGAGAGAGTTTGTAGCACTCAATCAGCTGATCCCAGAGTTTGTTGTATTGTCGAATGCGTTCATAAACATTGACACTAGTGATGCCAACAAATTTTGTTGAAGACTTTAACTCATTGGTTGTATTCCATGATACGAAGATGGAGAAAGCGTCGGTTTCGGCGGGAGTAGTGCAGGGGAATGGGATATTATTTGTACGTTGGTGTTCCAGACGGAGAGCTTTGATGTAAAGAGGTGTAGTATCTGGTACAGTGGGTGTTTCTGGCATGAAGATGCTGCGGAAGAAAAGAGAGTTCATGCAAAAGACTGCGAGGGGCCAGGTCACACGAATGGGACTGGAGGAAGGTCCAATGGTAACGCTGGTTAGATCATTGTAATCGATTCTAGGGCTCATTAGTTTAGTTGAAGTGATAACTTGAGTGTAACTTACTTTGAAGAGTCTATGGGATCAGACCGAGTGTTTTCGGCAATCCATGGTGTATTTGTGATCGTATAGAGACCTGATGCTAATTCTTTTGTTGCCGAATGAATAAGAGAAGCATAAGATTTTTCTAAGTCGGGCATTTCGACCAAGTTACTCGATTAAGTGGATCGTTTGGATTTTTGTCGACGTTATCGTTGACTAATGAGAAATTTTGTATCAATATCTGAGAAGTTCGATGCTTGACGTTGTGGGAATTCGTTAGAAGTTTTATCGTCAAAGAAAATCCGAGAGGATGCATAAATCCTTGGTTGTTATATATTGTGCCATTTGATATTGATACAGTTCCTGTTGGAATAGAAGTAAAGATACGGCCAGTAATATTGAGCTAGTAAGTTTGGTAGCTATGTTCCTGCTTGACAGGTGTAAGTTCCATGATTCCCACCGTAGCGATAAACCTAAATAATGTCTGTACGGTCTGGATGAACAAGAACAAAACAGGTTCGTAGACTTCCATGCCGTTACTTCTTCGAGCTTTGTTTCTACCCTGAGATTGATGATAGGCTAGCCTTCCACCAATTCAAAGATCCTGTCAATCCCTCTAGATTTTGAGACTTTTACTGCTCAATATATTTGTTCTGGTGCCATCTGCTTCGATGTTTATTCCTTTTTGACTCGGCTAGATCTTTCTTTGTCGTTCGGCCTTCCTCGATTCCTTCAACTTCTTTTCCTCCTTTTCTCGACCCATCTTTCCACTGCCATATTCATTGTTACCTTTGATCACAAGACCCTAGTCCTCATGGTGTTCGTTGTACTTCCTATCATTCTCATTTTCATTCAATAATGAATAGATCTCATGCGTAGTCAAATCATCAATACCAAATTTCTAACCTGAGATCTTGCACCAGTAGTCTTTGGTTCCCCGTTATCATCGTACTTCGAATCGTAACTCCAGATCTGAAGAAAGCCCTTCCAAGTAAAAGCATATCACATATACCAAATTCCAGATTCACTCATGGCACTCATTGAGATGCATGAATCTCATCTGTGTACAATTTCTTCCCCATCTACTTCTCTAGGTATTTTATTCTATGGTTTCTGAGTCTCCCCAGCAGTAACAGTCTACAGAGCTAATCTAGTGAAGAATGCTATATTTACAATACTCCAATTCACCTTTTACCTGCAGAAAGACGCATAAATGACTTGAACTTAAATGGCCCAACAACCTCCACCCACACAAACTGTTCTCCCAGGTGACAATATTACCATCCCATATCTTTCAGCATACCTCAAAATCACTCAATCCATCCAAACCTCTTCATCTCCAACTCCCCATCCAGGTTCACAAATCGCCAGCCGCAATTCGTCTAAAAATCCTCCCATACCAAAACCTCGCATACACTCACCCCGCACAATCCAATTCAATTCAATTTCACGCCACCTTCAATATTCAATTCAATCTAGACATTTCATCATTCTAGGCTACCACTCCTCATTCGTCTCGCATTTTAGTTGTGGTATTTCTCATTTGACGAAATCCAGATTCATCTTTTGCGAATCAAGAGCTCATCGCTTTTACATATCTCACATTTTTCGGCTTTGCGATTGGATTCTAATTTGATTTGCGAAGTCTTAATTTGTATTCCCCAAGAGAAGCTCTCACATAGACGCTCACTTGACACCGTCGAATAATTCCTCAGAGATCCAACAATTGCATCGCATCGCCGTCGCTATCGCCATCAATCACACACACGCGTGCAAAACATATCCCCTCCCAATTCCTCACACCACCGCCCACACACACAATCATCTCACCTCACAATCATCTCCTCTCCAAAAACAAACCACCAACAAAATGCCCCGCTACACCCCCACCCACAATGTCGTTCCCCCCGAGATCTTCATCGACTTCGAATCTCACTACCACGAACTCTACGACCTCGTTGTCCACTACCGCGATGCCCTTGCTAGCGACTCGATCTTGAGTATTCTGCGCTCCGCTCTCGACGACGTCGTTGAGCGCATTGAAGAAGCATTGCGCTTGAAAACTTTGGTTGTGCGTTGTCGATTTTTTGGAAGAAATAGACTTCATAGGTGAGTTTGTTTTTTGTTCTTTGTAGGGGGATGAGGATTGGGATGGAATGGATGGAAAAGATGGAAGAGATGCTAATGTGTTTTTGATACTAGAAAGTACAAGCAATTACTCTATACATTGAGAGCTATACAGGCAGATTTGTTGGAGTGCATGTATGATTATGATGGGAATTGAAGTTGAAGTCGAAAACGAAGGGAAATTGGAGGCTCCAAGATGGGAGTTGGGGCTTGGAGAGTTGTTATTTTGGGGTTCTGGGATCTTTGGAAGATAAATTATTGAATACAGGAGTGTGGATGGATGTTTCCTGGGTTATGAATGTCTGCGATGGAATGGGGTTTCTAAACAGGAAGGACCTTTGTGAATAAACCTTAGGTGTATTAGATGAAAGAATGGCTGGTTCATCTATTGATATGGAAGTACAGTAACATTTCAACAAGCTTCTTTGTGTGATTGTGTGAATGGCAGATATTGATGTTTTTTTTTCTAGACTTTGAAAAGTGTCATCCCTCAATAGTCTGTCTCTTCGAAGCGAGAATTTATATGTTTACATTACCTTAATCAGTTTTCCTTCAAATATATTGGTCGAGAGCCGAGAACCCCTTTTTACTCATGCCTCAAGAACAAAACCAACATTATTTTTCAACATATTTTTTTCGTTATTCTTTCAACATTACATACCTACACACAAATCTCAAATCTACATAATTGCAACCCTTTCTTTTTCTCATACTTTCACTATCATCTTTCTCACCAACTCTACAAGGCCAAACAACACTTCAATTCATCAAAACACACCAGGTTCTTTCTGAATATCTGTCTATCCATCTACCAACCCAAACACAATCCATCACCACAATCCTCACACCCCACCTCATCCCTAACGATCCAACCCAATCCAAGCCAACTTTGATACTACTATAGGCGTGCAAACTTCCAGAACATTAAAAATTGACGTATAAAAAACCTCTGGATGTGTCGATTAAAATGCTACAAGAAATTTTACCATCATTCAGAAGAAATTAAATCATTCAAACTTAAATTTTGATCTCAAAGGATATAAGATTGATCTGTTAAGAATTTCTGAAGTTGAGAAGTATCCTTTTAGTTGTTAGTTTGTACACCAATGGGTATACCTCCAGTATCATATTTTCCCACCAAGCCGTCGAAAAACTCTATGGCGAAAAACAGAATCATGCTCAAACCAAGCTTCTTCAATCATCTAATACCTACTATATTCATCTTCATTTGTATTCTTAACAGAATTTTTATCCCCATGCAAATTCCACACATTCATTTCTTCATTACTCCACTTTTCATTTCACAAAACGACAATAGGAACAAACTTGGAAGGCCTCAAACATACCACATCCATCTCCATCTCCCTATCCACACAAATACAAGTACCAATTCACTTTCCATCATCACATCCTTCAAAGTTCGCTCCGTGGAATCCACAACAATAATTAGTAAGACTCACAAGTAAAAACGGTCAGTCAATCAATTTTCCAACCACCTCCACATCCCTCCTAAACTTTAATAAATCCATATCAAATCTGAATATAATACATTTCATACATATCATATCATACTCTATTTCCAACCAACAAATCTCTCATTTCCCAGCTCCAGACTCGTAACTCCAGACTGGTATCTTCAGAGTCGGAGCTCTAGAGTCTAAATACATCTATCTACTCATACATTCCTCTCTATTCAAAGTCATTTCAAAAGCCCATCTCAATCTCTTAATCTTTTGATACCTCGATATTTTAATATTTTAAGATTTCAATCTCTCAATCTTTCAACATCAATAATTTCAGTGATAATTTCCATCTTTCAAGAAATTAATGGTCATCCCTCAACCCCTCAATCTCTCCCTTCATTTACTCCTCTATTTATCCCCTAATGATTACTTATCTATATCTATATCTACACCCTCTTATAATTTACTCATCTACATTATCTACTCATCCCCTCTCTACAAATATAAATACTGTAATAGAAAAACAAAGTACTAATATATATATATTTATAGACATTATTTGCCTTCTCTTCTTTCTCTTTCTCTCTTTCTTTTGCTCTCTCTTTCTCTTTATGTCTATCTTTTTCCTATTTCCCCGTTTTCCTATTTCTCTCTAATTTACCTTATCTTATCTATATTATTATTAGAATAGAAAAAGATGTTAGTTACTAGCATACTACTTAGTATCATATATATGATTTCCAATAATTATAATACATACTATATAATATACAACGTAATTCATTAGTATGTAAGTCATATCATCATATGAACTACTTTATTTTATATATAAGATTTATCTATATGATGTAATCATAACGTAATTCGTTAGCATATAGACTATATCACTATATGAATTACTTTAAAAATATATTAAAATCGAGCTTTTTTTCACTAATATTTATGTTTTAATAATTAATTAATATTTTAAAAAGAAAAAATCGTAATAAAAATGAAATAACGTAGTTTAACATCAAGTAGTTCATATCATCGAATGATTCATTTTAAATATATAAAATTCATTCGTATATAATTATATACTTTCTTTATTTATTAATATAATTTTTTGAAAATTCAAGATATAATATTTCATTATATAAGTATTATAAAAATCTAATTTGTTCTTGAAAATTTGAATTAATATAAGACTTATTATTAAAATGATATTTTTGTAATAAAAATGATAACAATTTTGATTTTTTTAATAATATAATGTAAGTATTTATATAAAAAACTAGATTCTTAAGAAACTAATTTTTAATGATTATTTAACGTTTTTTTTTCTTCAAAAATAATGTTTAATCACTAAAATTTAAATATTAGAAAACACTTAATTTTAGTATATTTTAAAATGAGTCACTATTAGAGAGCGATTATCTAATTAAGTATATATAGTAGATTCATTATTTTAATAGTATTCAGAACATTTTATGTTTTTATAGGTTAATAATAAAGTGAATCATTTTTGATATTATATTTTAAATATAAAGATGCTTTATTTTGAGATTTTTATTTATTATATGGATTTGAATAACAATAATTATATTTTGAATTCAATTCTAGTAATTGATTTAGTTATAATTATAATACTTTAGTATAATTTTTTATTTATAGTTATTAGCTTTTTCTTAGTTAATATATATCTAGTAGGTTTATATAAAAAGGGAGTGAATATTAGAGAGTGATTATTTAATTAAGTATATATAATAGATTTATTGTTTTGATAGTATTCGAAACACTTTATACTTTTATAGATTAATAATAAAGTGAATCATTTTTAATAGTCACTCTGTATTAAACTACGTTATCTATAATATTAAGGTTTTTTTCTAAATAATTCATTTTAACTTGAAATTATTACACTTTACATTATACAAACTCTTTTCCTTTAATAATTTTAATAATCATTAAAATTCTAAAAAAAATCAGATTTCCATAATATTGATATAATTCAGATTTATACATTAAATTCTCATAGGATTCTATATGCTAAAAAATAAAGTATATAATTATATATAAAATAAAAGTAGCTCATAAGGTGATATAGCCTATATACTAATGAACCACGTTATAACAATAAAACATTCATCGTAATCCCCTCTCCCTCCCCTCAAAACCCCTAAAACCAATAACCAATAAATATTATACCACAACCCCCCTCCTACACCTCATCCCCACCATCAAGACCACCCATCAAGACCACCCGCCAAGATTATGCCACACACCACTCTCGTCTTCACCATCCTCACTTGTGCGACACACCTATCTACAACCTCCCCTCCCCGCCAAGTCCTGCGGCCCGAAGCCCGTTGATCATGCCCCATATCATGTCGTGTAACACGCGGTTTCAAGCCACAGTCACGGCCACGGCCAACCACACTCAAAGCCACCATATCACATCGTCTTCTGTGCAACGACTCATCAAGAAACTGATTTTTGCCGATTTTCTTTCTCATTCTTCCTATTGTGCTCGGGTTCAATACGGTGTTACTCATCTAGTATACTCAGATTTATGATCACGATCACATTTAATTGAGAGACGAGGGATGAGACATGAATTATCTGAAATGAAGTTTTTCTTCATGACTAGCCTGATCTACTCTTTCCATTCAATATCTATTACCCGAGGTGTATAGAAGGGAATGAAATAAAGCAGCTTCTCGACCCTACCTGTCTGTGTATATCTGTCTACGTCTGCTCTCTACACTATCTTCATATGTCATCCACTGAATCTCGTGTATGTATTGATGTATCCATTCCACCCATCATCATTATCAACCCTCTCTAACCAAGACGGTCGGTCCATCTATCCGAACCTCACTTGATCCAGAATCCTCACCTCAAGCCAACGACGCCGCAGCATTCTCCAAACACTCCCCAATAACATCAATCCACTTCTCCGCATTCTCATAATCCTCTGCATCAATACTTTCTACCAAACCTGGGAATACTGCACCCGCATAACCAGTCCATAATCCTGGTGCAAAAACAACATGTTTAAACCATGATCTACCATCTAAACCTTCTTGATATAAGAATTTTCTCTCAAGATACTTGTATTTTTCATTGACAGTTCGGATGTGATGATAAAGTTTGACCTTGGATACTATTTTCCACCATGGCATATCTTGACCTACTTGTTCAGCGAGAACGGCGGCGGTAGAATCATGACGAATCGCTGCATCTTTGAGTGCGGTAGCACGATTGTGAAGACCTTTGAATGAAAGTTTAAGAGTGTTGATGTCACCCTTGGTTTCAATACTGGAGGGACGGTAACGAGCTTCTTCATCTTGTTCTTCAGTAGAAGATCCAATCATGATTGAGTTCAATTTGGCTTCGGTTTTGCTGATATACCCTTGTAATGCATTTGCGTAATCAGTAGCATTGAAGGAAATAACCGGTGTTTCTGCCATCTTAGCCGTGTAAAGAGCCCAAATCTTGGACATTGCTTCATGATAATGAAATCCTGGATCTCCGTAGGTATCCATCCAATGGAATGAATCGTAATTGGAATGATAATGGAAAACAGCCTTTTCACCACCTTCATGATTAACATCTGGTCCAAATCCAAGATCAATTGATGGAATACCAGCATAATCTTGGAATGCGGTGAAGTCACTACCACTCCCCATAGTACTAATGAGTCCATTCCAAA